CCCACTGTCCCCCCAGGCCCCTGCCAAGTCCTCATCTCCACCCCACTGCCCTCAGGCCACCTACCTTTGTTACATCTGGGACGTTAAGGGCTTTCTTTGAGTGAGCAACCCAACCCACTATCCCGATATCCAATGGAAACACCACTTCTCTGTCAGGGACCACCAGGTTGTCCTCAAACTTGGATGTGGGGGTGACGTCCAGCAGCCTGGAGGCCACCTCGGGCGAGCCGTTGCGGGCCCGGCACAGGAACAGGCTGCAGCGGTCCGCCCGCAGCAGCCGCGCCAGCCTCTGCAGGACCAAGTGCACCGCAGGTTCGGCGCTGCCTGCTTCCTCCTGCATGGCCTGGAACAGCTCCAAGCACAGGGCTGCCTCCTCCTCTGTGGACAGCCCGGGGGAGGACCCGCAGGCCTGGCCCTGCACCTCGCTGTGCTCGGAGGCTTCTCCCAGCGCCCCTGTCCGCAGCTTCTTGTGGAAGTACTCCTCGGCAAACCCAGGGTGGTCCTCCAGGTAGCTCTCCACAGCCTCTTGGCTGACCTCGCCCATGGCAAGCTGGCTTTACTGCTGCTGTTCAGGAAGGAAGACCCTCAGAGCACCACCTGGGGCCGAGGGCCAAGAAGGAACTACATCCTGATCAAGGCTCCTGCATAGATCCTAAGTGGCACCTCACTGAACCCCAAAGGCCAAGCAGAATGGTTGCTTAGCAGAGCTTTCCAACTGCCTGTAACTCTTGGGGTGTGACAGAAGGTCCTGGCTTAGAGTGGGATTCAGGAAGCACAGGATTACAGAGTTCTTCAGGACACAAATCCCTAAGCATCATTAGCGTGTAAGTCCTCGGAGAATCTTCAGAGCATCTTAGATCAGCCAGGCAAGCGGCACGTTGAAGTAACCATTTCAGAAATACAGCTGCACATGCTGATTCTGCATTTAGTGGAATCATCATGCAGCTTGGAAGCATCATCAACATATCCATGAACATATCCATTAGCATAAATTGACAACTTGAATCATTCTTTCAAGACAGTGATATTAAGTGAGAACAACCTTGGGTGTGTCTGTTTATATAGCAACTTTAATGAACACTGGGGGAGGTGGAAGGGTTTAACATCAACCCAAGATAAAATGGAATATTAATTTTTCCTCTTCCTAAAAATTCTTTGATTATCCAGGTTGCATGGCCTACTTTTTTCTCGAAAACCCTCACCTCTCAGTTGCCCTCACTTGAGAAAGCTGGATCTAGGAAGTGTTTTAAAGGAACTAATCTTGGGCCTATTACTAGAGAGGTGAATGTGGCAAAACATTCGTCTGTGACCCAAGCCTCATCAAGCCACAACGTAAATAATCCTTATCAAGAGACATAAGCACAAAAAGCAACCCATGCAGCTGCTAACTGGGTTTTCCTGCTAAGCGTATTAGCTGGATTTTGTTTTCAATAGTAATAGCCAGACCTCATACATTTTTGCTCTAAGGTACAACCTGTTAAATGTACTGGATAAAATTTGTCTTGTCTGTTGCTAGGATCTTTAATGTCTCAGGGACTTCTGGCCTGGAAAGTACACTTACCACTACTTAGCTTTGTTTAATGTTCAATTTATTAAGCTTTTACATTGATTAAGCACATTTTCCCAAATATTTAAACACTATTATGCAACTCATAAGTCAAACTACCCGTTTCATGAACCAACTTTCCTTAAATATTTAAATGCTGATTTCAACCTTACTCAAGATCTTTTAAGTATTTCAATAAAGCCACAATCTTTGTATTACACATTCTCTTGAACGGAAATACAACTTTTACTTGTGAGAAACTGAAGCACAGAGAAATTAATTAACTTGCTCAAGGTCTCACAGCTAGTAAGTGATAGTGACCTGCCCCAAAACTACCAGCTTAAATAGGATTAAATTAAAGAGTGCACCCATGAGCTGTATAGCACATCATACTAGCTGCTTACAGGGGAATATACAAAGACCTTCCCTCTAAGGAATTTAAAATCTAGACAGAGATCATAAAATGTCAAACACCAACACAAGAGTTAAATAAAAATCCCAGGAACTCTTTTTAAAAGCCTACAGATATACCAAAGAATGGCTTAACTTCCTTAAACTTTCTGCTTAACAAAATTATGCTTTGCAGTAGAATACTTTATTAATAAACACACATAATATTTAATTCCAAAAACTGCTAACATTTTCCACTGTGGTTAACTATTTCTATAGGAAGTAATGCTTATAGAATAGCCAAAATTTTAATAAACCGAGTTATTTTAATCACTGGAAAGAAGCAAAGGGAAGGCCGAATATTATGGGCATGCCATTTGTGCATCTTTGCCAGGAAGCTACAGTAAAGTGGGTGAAATCGGGAAGATATTTGTCTGTCAGTCACACCTGAGAACAGGTCATTGGCCAGAGTAGTCATGGCCACTGCCAACACAGGGAAATTTAAGATATTTAATCTCCCAAACGAAGAGGTCCACTCTCTTGCTCACTTGTGTTCGTGGGACTCTTGTTGCAAAGGCTGTGCCCTCCTGGCTCCCCTGTATTTGCTGTAAGCCATGTGGACCCCACACAATGGACTGATGGACTGCAACTAGCTAATGCTATACTGGACCCAACTCCATCACAGAAAGGAAACTTTGGATGCTGGCTTTGCTTTTAGCTCTGCTGAATCCCCAGCTACACATTTTCCAGGTCTGGATTAAAGGAAATGGGACTTTGGAAACCCAGGGATGTAATTCCATGTAGATAAAAATCACTCATCCTCCCATGTGAGTCTCAGAAAAGTCTCTCAAGATATTGTAAATACTTCAAATCCCACTAGCAATGGAGAAAGACCATCCACATGGTCTTTATTCTCTGATAACAGCAGGCATGTCAGGCACATCCTGGCAGCTAACTGCAAAGGGCCCTTTCACCTTGCCCTTTTGCACCTAATTGATGGATATGACCAGGCATCTCAGAGATTATTAATCAAGTAACTAAATTGATTAAATTTAATGACAGCTTTGTCACCACTGAAAAAACCATATTGAAAAAAATTAGTTTGACTTTTTGTACCTGGACATGTTGGCTGAATAATCTTCATTTTCTCATCAATTATTTTGTCATCTTTTGAATGCAGTCAGAAGATAAATGCTACCCATTTTTTCTGTTTCTATTTTTCCTTATCTGTCAGGATATGGATGTAAATGTCAGTTTGTACAAAAGGGAGCTGGTTGGAAATGCTTAATTTTTATAATGGTAAGGGCATACATTTATTGCATCAGATCCTCTTTCAATTATAAAACATTTTTCAATATTTCCTAGGAGTTAGTGGCTTGTTTGCTGATGCATTCATTAAGGTAACACTAAATCTGTTACTACAGGTAACCCCAAATTTCAGCAGCTTAATCCAATGAGAGTTTATTTCTCATTCACATAAAATTAATCATTGCTGGGGGTCCCAGGCTGATGGAGGCTCTACCAGTGGCCAGGTGAGGAAGGAGAAAGAGCCAGGAAAATTGGATGGGCAGCTTTCATGAGCCCTGTCTGCGTGCACACAGCACGCAGCACTTTAGTCCACCTTCTATTGACCAAAACTTAGGCCTATGGCCTTATAGAGATGCAGGAAGTGGGGAGGTTCCTTTTGGCCAATCCCTCTTCCCCAAAAGTGTACATCATGGAAGGAGAGTACAAATTTTTTTTGATAGAAGGATGGTTAGCCCCCTCTGCTACAAGGACTAAATCCTGAGAAATTATATTTTAGAAAGAATGACCGCTGACCAGGTTTATTTAAATAAATGTTTTATTGAAGCTTACCTAAAATGACTAATTTCAATACAACAAATTAAATCAATATCTATTGATTGAACACCTACTATGTGCAAGTCTTTTTTTTTAAATATATTTTTATTGATTTCAGAGAGGAAGGGAGAGGGAGATAGAGAGAAACATCAATGATAAGAATCATTGAGAGACCAAGCCTCCTGCAGGCCTCCTACTGGGATCGAGCCCCCAACCTGGGCATGTGCCCTTGACAGGAATCGAACCTGCGACCCCTCAGTCCACAGGCCAATGCTCTATCCACTGAGCCAAACCAGATAGGGCTATGTGCAAGTCTTTGGATGAATCCCATGGAATAGCTGGTGGGGGTGGATACCAAGGTGAATGAAACATGGTCTGTCACTCCAGGACAGGAAAGAAAATGAACCTTTGTGTATATTATATGCAACATAATTATACATCTAGAAAAAAAAACTATTTTCAAAGAGAATATCTGTTTTATATTCTGATTAAACATTTTCACTGTAGGAAAATTTGGAGCCAAATAAAAAAACAAACAAACCCACCTTTACAGCCTCTAATCCTATCACACAGAGGTAATTGCTGTGAACATTTTTCCCATTGATATTTTATCTATATATGCATATTTGAAATTGTATTTTATGTAGATACATTTCAAAGCACTAAAGTTAAAAACATCAGTTGACCTGTTGACCTGTATTCATGTACCATGATCATGAAGAAATTCGAGAGAGGATGCCAAAATAAACTGTTTCCTTTGCTGGTGTCTGGGACAACAGATTCATTGATTTAGCATTAAGAGAGAGCTTGAGTAGGAGGAGGAACATTTACACACACTGACCTTTAAGCATCTAACAAATAAATGAAAACGTGTTGCTATAAAAACAACCACTATGAAAATGCATTGAAATACCCTACATTTATTCAGTATACGGTGCGTGTAAGGACCACCAGAATATGATCTAGGACCATGGTCGGCAAACTGCGGCTCTCGAGCCACATGTGGCTCTTTGGCCCCTTGAGTGTGGCTCTTCCTAAGCCTTAGGAGTACCCTAATTAAGTTAATAACAATGTACCTACCTATATAGTTTAAGTTTAAAAAATTTGGCTCTAAAAAGAAATTTCAGGCATTGTACTGTTGATTTTTGGCTCTGTTGACTAATGAGTTTGCCAACCACTGATCTAGGAGAAATGATTGAAAGGGCTGAGGTATTAGGTGAACTTTTCTAGCATAATAGCTGTCCAAAGTGGGGAGCTCTCCATACTAGAGGTGTTGGAGGAGAACCTGGAAGATCTCTACTCTGGAATGGCAGAGGGGATCCAAGTATTGCACAGGAGATTGAGAGATGCCCTCAAGTCCTTTCCCACCTACAGTGCATAGATACTACCACCTGTGTGGCCTGCAGGAGTGGCTCTGGAGCAGAAGTTATCTGAGCTGGTCGGGATTATACATCCTGTGATAAAACTGGCCTAATCAGAAGATCTTCTAGTTAGCCCGTAGGCCAGAAACAGGGCTTTCCTAGCTCTGGGGCAGTAAGGAGTAAAAGCATCATCATTGGCTCTCCAGAGGCACCAGAGACTCAAATGGGAGCAGGAGTGGAAGGGAAGGTGCAAAGTGGAAGCAGAACAGGCGGGTAGATGTCCAAAGAGTTACAGTGTGGGGGCTAAAAAACCCACAAAGTTTCCCTCCCACCTTCTAAATTCTTCTAGTTGAGCTAATAATCACATTAGCAGAGACAGATTAACAAGAGAAAATAAAAATGTTAATACATGCAAAGAATTCAAATAAGCATGAACATTCCAAAGGCAGTGAGGGAACATTGGGTATATATGACATTTTGGACAAAGGATAAAGGTTGAGGGTTAAGGGGGGGGAAGGGTTAGGGGTCTAAGATTTCAAAAGTGAGAATGGGCAATTTATAGGGAGTTAAAGAAGAAGGAACACAGGTGGTATGAAAATTCCCCGAAGCAACTCAGAAACAATGGAGACAGGGAGTATCTGGCTAGCAGGCCCCTGCCTGACGCACTCCTACTTGCCACGCTCAATTCACATTAGGCTAAGGCGACAGACATCCGAGGTCCTAAGGTTCCCTTCCTGAAGCAGGTGTTTCTCTCTCAGTCTCTTGGGCATGAAAGGAGGAGAGTCAAAGGTTCTTTTCTGAGTCTTTGTCTCTTAGTAACCAGTTAAAGGCCAGTATTCCAAAAGGCAACTTCCGGTGGCAAAACTTTAGTCTCCTTCAACAGGAAGGTGATGAAAAACCCAGGTGCCTTCTCAGGGGGCTCAACAGGAACCTCAATGCTTTCCCCTGCGGGACCATCAACTCCTTATTTCTATGTCTGGCAGCCAACCTTCTCTTCCCCAGCCCTCTCTTAGTTTGTGTCAGCAAAATGGTACAAATTCATCTCAGTTCTTTCCAATTTGGGTCATGGAGACACAACTGGCATTGTATGGAGGGAATGTTACAAAAGGATATTTCTTAGATCACTAATTCTCATTTAGCCCAAAGCTGAATCTTCGGGCTACTTTGATTATATTAGAGGAACTGGTTAAGTCTGAATGAAAAGAGAAAAATAAGGTGGGTAAATTGTGCCATCACGCAGACAAAAATAGCATTATGTGTCACACCGTTGTAACTTAATTGACCATTAGATGTTTGTCATAGAGTTTACCTCCCCCCTCTTGTCCACCACTCAGACAACTGCTTTAGCTGTTTTGAAAACAAAACGAAGTCCTACTACGGCTTTGAAATAAAATCGTATCATACACAATTGGTAGGTGTGTTTCAAAGTGGTTTGAGCAAAACGCCACAAAGTAGGCGACCACCGAGGTTGCTAAAATATTTCCTGTCCTGACCAGGGTTGCGTTTCTGGAGAATATTTAACAGGGAGGGTTTTAATGCTTCTAAAGATGTTGAAACTAAAGAACAAATATTGACCCACAGGGCACCACAACTCTCCTGAAAGGCAGTAAAATACATCCTTTATAAAATGAAAAACGACTTGGCCGAAATATTCCCCAACCCCTTCACAATTGGCCCTAAGAGGGCGGAGGGGCCAAGTTGGCATAGCCAGGCGCGGGCACTGACGCACCAGGCGGCATCATCGTAGGGCCTCTCGCGCTGGGAGGCCACGGTTTTC